GTAAGGAACGTGACAAAAATCAGTGCGAAAGACTGCTGTGCATGCCATTGACAAGAAACTTCCAGGTTTATCTGAACGGTTCTTTTATTGTACTAAACGTTCTATGGGAGACAGAACTGAAAAGTACTTAGAATAGAGAAAAAATATGCATTGTAATCACAAGCAGGAGTGTTCAGACAGACCTGAAGTGAGAACACTGAAATAAAGCGGCTGCCTGCAGACTTTTCCATACGAGAAACCTGAGCAATCATCCACTAGGCAAATTTATCTCATGGCAAAATCGATTCCTTGGAAGTCCGTCAATCCGTTAATCCACGGAAATCTTTCGTCAGCTTTGTAGATCTAAACAATGCATAACGCATGAACAGCGACTGCATATATTCTAGATTGGGCTAGACATGCTTAAATTCCTTGAGATTTCAAAGGAATCCAGCTACTGCTGAGCGGCAGCGAAAGAACAAGTCCGTTTTGATACCGTAAATGATAGATGATAGAAATTATAAGTGAAGGAAACGAACCACGACCAAAGAAAAAGCTTCTCATGGGTCAGAACTCGCCACCTGCCCTTGCGTAGCTGTGCGTTGAAGCATTTGGCAACAAGTACCGAACAACTGTCTTTAGCTGTTCATGCGGAAATCGAAAGACGAGAGGGTAAACCTAAAGTCCTCATGAAGCAATCGTTTTCGCTCTTTTTCTCTGAACCTTATCTACTTTTCTCTCATTCGAGCAGACCGATCCTTTGCAGATCGAGATTTTACAATACTCAAAGACCCCGCAGATCGAATAGCCAAATCGCTTACTCGTTTTAACAATCGGCCGCCTTAAAGCTATTTAAACAATTTTGTACGGATCGTGTTATACTACCTGGTGCTTGAACACTTTTTCGGTCGACCAAACGCAGCGACGCACTTTTTTCACTAATGCACTGCAGGTGCTACAGTACGATTGAGTTACGTCCAGCTCAATAGTCCGTAGATCGCGAAAAACAAGAAATATGACGACTTATTTGAATAAATCCGAAAAGAGACTGGTGTATGCTATAGTATTCAAAACAGTATTCAAAATTTGTCTTTGCTAGTAAACTGAGCATATCATAGCAACACGATTTAATTATGGAATCATTTTTCTTTTGCTGTACTTATGCGTTTGACGGCTTCAGCCAGTCTCTCCGTCAATTCAAATCACCTTAAATGTCCGAGAAGCCTATAATTTCTGAACTGTAAGATTTTCGCCATCATTTTGGACTGTATAAAAAATAGGTTGATATTATATAACGTGGCTTCCAGGAACTAAATCAGAACTACGAGACTACTAAAGCGAAGTTACACAAATTACTTGCCTTAATTTTTTTATGATCCACCATAATGTTTCTTGCGGCTACATCTCGATGAATAAAGCCCTTTTGACTGAGGTATTCCTGCAACGATCACGTTATTAGCAAAGTTGACGCAGCAGAGCTTAACATCAGGATGTTTACCATTCCAACGGACACCTGCCAGGAAAACGACATCAGATCCTTTAGACAAAGAATCATTTCCAAATCGAAATCTGGATTATCGACGTCTTGCAGATTGAGACCATGTTCTTCAAGCTACAATTTGAGCCGTGCATCGAACATTCAGTTGTGGCTTTATGGACGAGACACGTGACTGTACCTCAATCATGTACTTTCGTCTGTCCCTCAGGTAGTGAAGTAGGTCTCCATCTGGACAAAACTCCACGATCAGACACAGCGGTTCGTCCACGGTGATGCAACCGAGTATGTTCACAAGACGTTCGTGCTGTCCAAGATTTTTCATCAGGTTAATCTCTTTGCGAAAGTCTGACTTTGCCGCTTCGTCTGCGTACTCTATGAATATCTAATTCAAAATCCAGACTCGAAGTAACTTCCCATTAAATTCTTTACTTCAAAATATTTTCATGACGTGAAACCCAACAGATGCATGGCTGTTACTCCCCAGGTGTTTCCTTCAACATCGGATGAAGTGATGATAGAGGATCTGAATCTAGGACAGAATGCGTCGTCGTCCAAACTTAGGGACCATTGTCAGACTGGATCAATAAGAAGCGTTCATCATTGTGAAGTGTTTTCTCCTCACCACTATTTAGCAGCGAGAAACAATTATATA